AGTAAAATTACTATGAGGGTGTGATGAGGTTTGATCGGTTTTCTTGCCACCTTATCAGTAACTAATAGTAATTAATTAGTGGCAAGATCAGTGAAAAGGGTGACGAATAGCTTATTAAGAAAGATTTAATGATAACACGATCAACTTAATTTAATTCATTGGATGTTTCGCTAACCCAATCGAAAATATAAAAAAATTTTTATTGGATAGAATTTATTATTATTTTTTTACAACAAATATTATATAATATAGAGCTTCGAGTTATGATGAAATACGTAGAATAAATTATTTGATATTGAAGAAATCGGTAAGTAAATTAAATAAAATAACTAGATCGAATAAATAATATGTAGATATGAGCGAATTAAATAAATAAAGAATAAATATAGTAGAGTAAAGAAAGCGAAAAGAATAATATGAAGTACGAAGTCTAATATAAGTAAGCAGAACTATAGATTTGAGTAAAGATAAGTAGGAACGATCTAATATAATTTAATGTAAGAGTTTAGTATAATTTAATTAAGTGAATAAATAGGTTGATATGAGCGAATAAATACTTATAATTAATAATTTAAAGTAAGAGTGAATAAATATAGTATAGCGCTTATCTTAATAGACAACTTGATCGAATAAATAATGTGTTAGATATGAGCGAATAAATATAATAGAGGTAAGCGAATAGAAAAGTAAATACTTATCTTAATAGAATATAGTAATAGACGAATAGTAAGATCTAAATATTTAATAAGTGAACTAAACTTAAGTGAATAAATGGAAAGTAGTAAGTAATATCTAGTAGAAGATAAGTAGGAACGATCTAATATAATTTAATGTAAGAGTTTAGTATAATTTAATTAAGTGAATAAATAGGTTGATATGAGCGAATAAATACTTATAATTAATAATTTAAAGTAAGAGTGAATAAATATAGTATAGCGCTTATCTTAATAGACAACTTGATCGAATAAATAATGTGTTAGATATGAGCGAATAAATATAATAGAGGTAAGCGAATAGAAAAGTAAATACTTATCTTAATAGAATATAGTAATAGACGAATAGTAGAATGATCTGAGCGAATAAATATAGTAGAGCGAACGAAGTAAGTGAATTAGAAAATAAATACTTATCTTAATAGAAAACTTGATCGAATAAATAATGTGTGTTATGAGCGAATAAATATATAGTAGAGCGAAAGTAACTTATCTTAATAGAATATAGATAATAGACGAATAGTAGATCTAAATATTTAATAAGTGAACTAAACTTAAGTGAATTCTACGAATATAAGGTTACAGGTTTGCAGCCAGTCATGTTTTTAAAAAGTTCTGGTATTATTAAGTTGGGCTAGTGTTAAGAAATTGGCTTTAACGAAGTAGGCCGGCATTAAGCATTTAGGCTGGAGTTAAGTATTTAAATAATATGTAACGCATTTTAGAATTCCAGTTGCTTACTTAATAGATATTATTTTTATACTATACCGCTCATATGATATTTACGACGATTAGTGAAAGTGTCTATTAGTGTGGAGCAGAGACTTTAAAATAAAATTTAGATATCGAGTATATATGAGAGTAATTATGTTAGGAACTGGAATAGCGAATAGAGGTTTGAGTTTAATTTTGGTTGTTAATATACTTGATAGATCGTGAGAGTAACTATTTAGGAACTGGAACGGTGAATAGAGGTTTGAGTTTAATTTCGGTAAAGGTGGATTTGGCTCTGTAAAATAAGGTATGAAATCTAAAGTAAGAATGAAAAGATATGAACGTACTTAAGAATAATAGTTAATTATATTTAAATTAAATTAAATAAATAGATAATGATCGAATAAATATGAGTAGATAAAATAAATATAGTAAGTGAAGAAGAACGATCTAATAAATTTAATGGTTAGTAAGTAAATGTAGCTAAATAAGTGAATAGTAAGATTGAAAGAGTGGTAAGTAGTAAGTAATAGTAGAAATAAGAGTGAATGGAGCGATGTGAAAAGTATGAAGTCTAAAAACTATAGAGTTGAGTAAAGATAAGTAAGAACGATCTAATAAAATTTAATGTAAGAGTTAGTTAAGTGAATGAGCGGTAATAGTAGAAGTAATAGTGAACGTACTTAGTATAGAAATTAAAGTTGAACTAACTAAACTAAATGTATAATATTGTAGTATGAATAAATAAGTTAATGATTAGTAAGAAGCGAAATAAATTAAAATTTAACTGAACGTAATAAAAAGTCAATTTAATTAAGTAAATGTAAGTGTGAAAGTTGAGATTGGGCGAAGAAAGAAGTATGGAAGTAAATGTAAAGTATATAGAATGTATATTTATAGAATAGTATAAATAAATAATAATAGAAATAAATAAATTATTAAATAAATTATTCGTTGGATTAAATATTAGATTTATTAATTAAAATAATAGTGCTAAAACGAACTAACATTATAATAAATTTTAGATTTAAACTGAAATTTTTTCTAACTTAGTTTTAAGTAAATTGATAATTTCTTTTTCTGATTTTTCGTTAAAATTTAAAATAGTTGCTTTTTCTATTCGCCAACTCATTTTTTCATTATAAATTTTTACATCATTATTATACATTAATTTACCAAAATTTTTCTGCCATTCGTTAATATTGTATTTAGTTAATAAAAAATAAAGTTTTCTATCATAATAATTATCAAAAATTTGATAAAAAACATGATCATTTCCTTTTTGAACAAATTCATTGATTAATAATGGCAATTTTTCAATATTTTTGTTGTTACAATTATTGATATCTTTAGGTT